CATGAACAGGTTTTTCTTTATTATTATAATTTTTTTTTTTTGTATATTTTATTTTTTTTACATTTTCAATTTCGCATTTCGTTCAAAAATAATTTTTTTTCTTCGACTGTTAAAAACTTCTTTTTTGATTGATGTTTATTTAACTTTTTTTCTGTGGTGTGCCGCACTCCAAAATTTGTATTGCTTTGTGGCATATAAAGACGGAGTACTTTTCCCAATGCAATTATCACGTAAGAAATTATAAATAAAATGAAATTTAAAAATTAAAACAAATAATAATGAATAATATGAATAATAATAATATGATTAATAAATTTTCTTAATGCTGATCGTAATCATCTTTATCTCGTTGTGCAATAGTCCTGGCTGCAAGGAAGTTGATAGACATTTCTCTGCTTTCTTTTTAATATTTCAGATATCAAGGTTTTAAAAATAACTAATTTTACCCTTCCCATAAACAATAAGAAATGATTTACTTATTAAGTAATTTAAATAATAAATTATTAACTTAAATGCCGATAATAGCCCCTTACCGAATTCCGGTCTGAAGCAGCGTTCCTCTCCAGGCGACTCTGTTGCGTGCGTGTCTTCTCCTGTTTCGCCTTTTTTGTGCTTCCACCAAACTTGAACATTCCACCAAAGACACAATCTACCTCTATGTCTTCTTCCTCCAATTACCACTTCAAACACCTTTTTTGCTGAAACATCTTTATCCATTCTTATGATATGAGCTTACAAAGAAATTTTCTCTCGAAAACTCCCCGTGCTGCTCTATTATTCTATGATACCGTCTATGCTTCTGCGTCATACAGAAGCACAGGTAGGATGAGTGGTCTATAAAACGTTACTTTTGTCTGTCGATAGAGACCCCTACATTCCAATTGTAGTCGCTAAGCTCATAGTTGCACCTATTGGCAATAGTATTCTAAGATATCATAAAAAAAGTCATAAAATATCTTCATTGTTTTAAAGTATGGTTATTTGTGGACTTGGTCATCTTATAAAAACACTATATATTAGTTGTGGTTCCAATTATGTTTTAGTGATAAGTACACCCTTTACCTTTTTGCTTTCTGCTGTGATCTTAAAATAAATATTACTCTAAACCATGGAACTTTTGTCATGCAATGGCTTTAATCAACAGATTTGTAGATGAAAGCTTAAGAATCGTCTTTTCTACTATTAAATCTATGCCACGAGCTTTGAAACTTTCTCAATTGATTTGTAATTATATATTTTTATAACGCTGTGTCCCATATTAAGTGACCCATAAATTTAATTGTCTATAAATTTTCATATTTTAAAGCAATAAGGAATCTTTATTACTTTACCCCATATAAACTTATATTAACTAAATCATATAAAGATTCTTTTTGTCAACAGATTTCTAGTTTACAAGTTTAATACCGTTCTTCTCTTACTTTATGAACGAAACGTGTCATAAACTTAAAATTGACAATAAAAAAATAAATGTTGAAAGTTATAGTTTCTACGAATATGAGTACCAAATGTCACGTCTTCTTCATAAATGTAAAATTAATGTTAATGTAAAATTGATCCTAATAATTGACTTGACTAACAAATTTGCTGAATATGTATAAGTAACTTTGAGAAGAGTGTGGGGGCAAGAATCTTATTATTACACTTGAGAAAAAAATTCTAATTAAATTATAAGAAAGCAAATAAACTCTGATGCATTTAATTTCAATTAGTTTGGCTGCTGTTGACCATGCAAACTCTAGACTTCGTTGTTTGTAATATTAGCAGACAAAACAAGGCCATTTAGGGCAATTTTTCGAAAGCGTATGCTGTGTGCAATAGATCATCCAAAAGCAGAACTAACTACAACGTCGCAGACTCGCTACAAATGCATTTTAGCTGGCGCTGGCAGCTACACAAAATGTATTAACAGATACTTTATAGAAATTATAATGTATAAAGAAAAGTGTTAAAGTTAAACACACACGTTGAAATAGCAACAACAACAACAACAACAGAAACAACGACGAGAACGAAAAACTACAAACGCATCTACATTTATAAAAACAAAGATCGTGCAAGGGCAAGATGAAGTAAGCAGCATTCTTTGGAGCAGTGACGATGTGACTTTTTCTTGAATGGCTACGAAATCAAGTGAGATACTGTAACGTACCAATAACTCCAGCAAGAAAAAAAAACTACGAAACAAATTGTTGTTTGGATTTTTTTACTCTGTTGAATATTGTTTCTACACAGATACACAGATGCAGTAGTGATACAGTGGAGTGTTTATAAATAAAATAGAAAACGAGTTGCTTGGACAAAAAAAAAACCAATTAAACAGAAAATATAAGTTTGAATTCTACATAGATTTCTAGTTTTGGAATATCTACAAGTTATGATAGACATAGAACCACTTTCCTTCTAAGCAGCGCATCTCTGACTTTGTTCCACTGTAAGCAACGCTGCCAACATTTTTATGCTGTAGCTTTTTAAACCTTAGCAATTTGCCATTAATTTAAAGTTTTTTTTGTGTTTTTTTTTTGTATCTTGGGTTCTTATACAAATATGAGAAATATGAATCTTATTGGAATTGTTGGGCTGCTGCAACTGCAATTATTGCTGAGTGCGCGTTGCAATTCGAATACGTTCCACACTTTTGCACGTATAATTGCGCGCTACGTATCGGTGCTTAGCTGGTAGCATACGTAATGCATGAGTCAATATATTGTATTAAAAGACTCTGACAACAACAGATACATACGTGCGCTACTAAACAAGAATCATAAAAATAATTGTGAACATTTAATTAAAACTACCAACAACAACACCAACAACAACGACAACAATAACAACTACGGTAAAAATAATAGCAAGAGCAACCGCAACAGTAACAGCAATTAGAACAAATTATTTACTCATAGATTAGCACGAACAAAACTCGCTTAATTATTCACATTTGCAGCTTGTTTTTACGCCATTATGTATGTTATGGTATGGTATGGTATCGTATAGTATGGTATGGTATATATAGTATGTATAGTATGTATGTATGTCATAGTATGGTGTACTGCACTAAATCTATACTCTTCAACAATTCATTCAAGTATCTCCCTTGTTATGCTTTACGCCACTATAGAGCGTGCAGCTCTAACTCTCTGTATCTCAACTATTCATTCAAGTATCTCTAATAGTTTTCCTATTAGAGATACTTTTAAGCAAAATCTTTACTTGGGTTCTGGGTTGCCAAAAAGTGTCAGTAAATTGTAATAAATTTAAGAATGATTGGTCGGTGGTCGCACCCTTTTCTTTTCTCTTTGAATTTTGTTTTTCTGGTTACAAAGATTTTTAATTCCATTTTTATTGTCATAAGTTCTCAAGTCTCTTGCCTTGATCACTGGTTTTGTTTATGCTACCAACATTTTTTTCTTTATTAAAATTTTTTAAATCTTTCTACTCAGCTTCAGCCCGTAGCTAAAAATGTATAGTTTCGTCTACATTGTTGCTTATGTTGTTGGGAGACTTAAGAAAGCTTTTTTTGACATATTTTAGAGATTAAATAGGATTTTAAATTTTCATTTTAATTGTGTTTCTAGTCTAAACAGGTTTGAAATGGGCGATAGAGATTCTTGATTTTATTGCCTCTGCCTCTGTTTCTGTT